TAGGCCTATTGTTACAACGAGTCGTAAAAATAGTCCTCAGGCTATTGTTACGACGATGCTTTCACAGCCCTCCATCGGCGAAATTAAAAACCGAATAGTCGTAAAAATAGTCCTAACCCTAACCCTATCCCTTCCCATCTCTTAATTGCTGCCTTCAGTTCTGATAACGTTGAAAATACTGCTCCTTTTTCGATGCTGGTGTTGGGGAGATTGGCAGCCATTTTGTAATTCGTTCTAAATTTGGCTCAGACTCGTCGTAACAATAGCCACCGCCTTTATTATAATAAAACTAACTAGTGATTGTTTTCTCATTAAAATTCTGTTCTGCTAATAAAATGTGTTTCTCAATCACTCGGGGGTTGGATGGCCGAATGGTTAGCCACGTGAGTTCTGTATCATTTAGTCCACCTGCGTGGTTTCAATTCCCCGGTTGTACCTGGCAAGGAGTAGGGTCCCTGTCCAACTTTGTTGGTTTTCTTTGGGTCCTCCGGTTAGCCTCCCGTTAGCCTTCTACTGCTAAAAAAGACCCCTACGCGCAAGGTAATTATTGAAATAAAATTGAACCATATGTTAGTCCCGAAATCACCTAGTTTGTGTCGAGTGGACGTTAAACTCATCTCTCTCTCTCTCTCTCTCTCTCTCTCTCTCTCTCTTAAATATCCCATTTCTAAAGCTTACAGTTTATAGTTTTAGTTAAATAAATAAATATATAAATTTAGCCAATAGAAAAATACATAAATAATTTTAGCCAATAGAAATAATAACTATAATAAATAAATCATTTTTAAACAATAAAAAGTGTACCTTTAAGTTGGCACCATCCTCTTTTCAAACTTTACTTCCATTCTCGCAACGTTACGTGTGGGTTTCATTTTGTTTACATCAGTAACCATTTACGTCACACTGTTTACACGTACGTCACATTAATTAACGTTGATGTATTTTAAAGACCAAAAATTAATCGAAACAACAATGTTAAACACACATTATGCAAGAGCTAAATTTGGCTATTGCAGGTCTTTTTTTTAGGTCTGAAATTTTATCTAAATTATTAATTAGACATTAATTAACTTATCCAGACTATAATCAACCTGACGTCATCGCTAGCTTACGATATTTATTGGATTATAATCCGATCTGCTGTTCAACACACACTGATGATTAAATTAAAAAAATGGATAATCGAGACTATGTTTTATCGTACCGACTTTACTTATGATGATCGAGGCTACGCCTAAAATTAAATCGCTAAAATTCTCTGTTCAGAGTGGATCAATTTGACCCGAATTCCATCTTATATAAGTACCAAGATAACTATGTCTGTATTTTGGCCATATAGTTAAAGTTTAAAGGGATTGCCGCCGTTATCAATACATTCATAGTAAACCCTTTAAAGATACTTGCTCGCGTACAAACTGAGAGATTTGATGATATAATTGGACTATAAACATATTCAAACAAATTAATTTATCAAAAATTTGCTTCAAATCTCTATTAAAACATTGTATTCGCGCGGAAATACCCCAAAATATTAAAAAAAAAGTTTTTAAAAGCCATGTTTGTTCCCTAACTTGATTGAAGGGGGGTCCATTTTTCAGAATGTATATTTGTCATTACTTACTGTCCATTTACCATAAATATTGAGGCCTGAGTAGATTCTTGAATTATTTTCTGTCAACTTCTTCTTCCGCCGGTTAATTGCAGAGTCTGTTATACGCTTACACCTTTCAATGTTCCCCAAACCACTTGATCAAGAAATAACCGCTCCCTCTTTCAATCTAGCATTGAATAAGCCGCCCGGGAAGCTGCCGGGTTGCCAGTTAGCGATACCCTGATATGTTTGCCCAGTGCTTGCCTCATGGGTGTTTTTCGGGTAATCCAGTATTTTTCTAGTAAGATTGGGCGTATATACTTTCCATCTACTGTATACCATTTTTGCCATACTTTTATTGGAAACTATCCCCCGATCAATAATTACCGTGAAAGCAATGAGATCAAATGGGGTTTAACTTCCTACTTTTCTGCACCGACTGGGCTAATGAAGACGGACATACGCCCATACAGTCTGCTATGATGACATTTTGCTACGATCTACTCTTATTTCCAATTCCAACTTGCAAATAGGGTTATTTTCCGTCCCATCACGACGTCTGGACACTGTCCTGTGCACAACAGGGAAAAACCACGCCGCAAAATAACAAGGAACTTTCTCGGTCAATATCGGGAGCGAACCCGAAACCTCCAGGTTAGTAAGGCAAAGGCTTGCTCGCGGGGCCACCGCGGCTACCCCCCCCCCCCTTTAAGCCAGTCTAGCGGATCTTTACCGGATGGCCCAGTATATGCCAGACATGGTAACTGTGCTATTATTTAACTAATAAACCTGAACCCTGTGGGAGAGGCGGGGGTGGGGGGGGGGCTGGATGGTCGAATGGTTTGCGCGTGCGCGTTGTATCATACGGTCTGTCATTGATCAACCGGCGTGGTTTCCATTCCCCGGTTATACGCGACAAGGAATAGGGTCGCCTGTCTAACTTCGTGGGTTTTCTCCGGGTCCTCCCGATTCCTCCCACTGCCAAAGAACCCTATGCGCAAGCGAATGATTGACATAAATTTGAACGGTATGTTAGTCCCGAAATTAGCTAGTTTGTGTCGAGTTGACGTTAAACACACATCCCCCTCTCTCTACTCTCTCTCTCTCTCTCTCTCGTCTGTGTCCAAGAGTTGTTTCCTATAGTAGACTATCCACTAAGAAGTTGGTCCTGCGCTACCCCACACTGATCCGCAGTGAATATTCGCTTGGCCGCTACAATCACTGATAAGGATGACATCGATGCGACTTAATGACTACAAAATATTAACTTTTTTCTTTCGACAAATTAAATTCTGAAACATTTTTTTTTTAGTATTAGAAAAATAAATAAAGGTGTTTGAAGTATATCTTGATAAAAAATATTCCATATTTAGCGTAAATAGGTACAGAAAATAGTACGCGGAGGCGTAAAATGGGTAAAACGATATAATTCTGCCCGTACCAGTTCATATTACTACGTTCGATGTAAACAACGCACGTATGACCATCAATTTGACGTTTTTTTCTGTTTGTTTACTCTGAATGCTTTCAGAAGTACATTTTTTACCGTCTAATCTGATTGACCTGCTCGTGTTTGTTTTAAAACAACAAAAACAAGCCACAGAAGTAATCTTTTTTGGCGTTATCGATGCCATCTTGCTTTGTTGGTAAACATTGTGATGTGACGTCACCCTTAGAACTACAGCGGACCTTTAAAGGTCAGTCATCTTGGACAGAGATAAAAGACGGATGTCGCATTAGGTCTGTAAAACAGATTGGCGCTACCCGTGTATAATTAAGACGGGCACACGCTCTCGCTTTGAACCCACAGAAACTGGTGACGTGTTATCGAAGATTGGCTAAGTTAGCAGCAACTAAGTTAAAACTAATTTGGCAATAGGGCTGCCAACTTTGGTTTAAAAATAATTCCTTTAAAATGGTATCAAGGTTTTATGATTATATCCAGATGGTTATACAACGATAAGATAAGGCTGAATGAATGAAACGAGCGTTAAGACCCGATTGATAAGAACTTACCTTTGGTCTTTGAAAACACCAAGATGGTGGTTTATCCGGTGAGCGTGGCTCTGTTCCTTTTATCACTATCTCAAGGTAGGTAAAATTTAGACAAAGGAATTTAATAACTATAGTAGATGTTCGATTTAATCCCCCAATGATTCTGCCGTAAACACTAGCCGTGGATGACCAAAATGTCTCGCTTTCGAGTCCCACCATAAGGCTGGAATAAGGTCGAGATTTGCAAGCGGGTTCTCGTGTGTATTGTCAAACGGGACAGAATGACAAAAGCCTATTATATATTATACAGTTATTAGCAGGTGGATGTTACAGGTGAGTGGAACATTATACACACCCCCTCCCCAAAACCCATAATAGAGTTTCCGAGAGACTTTAAACCCCAAACTTTTCACTTTTATCTTGACATGCGCAGTGCATGTTCCAGAGATTAGCGCTCCAACATATCTCTAAATGTACAAAAGTACATAGTGTCTGCGATATCACCTCGATGGAATCGAACGTTAAATAAAGCTATTTCACACAAAGATAACAGCCTGCTTACGTGACAAGAGTAGGGTTGTCTGTCCAGTCTGTAGGTAAATCCGCCACTGAGTAGGGGAATGAAGTGAAATGGGGTTGAACGTCCTATTGTTCTGCTCCGACTGGGCTAATGAAGACGGGCATACGCCACACAGTGTGTTATGAAGGGAATTTTGCCCGGGCAGCGGCACTATGACCTACTCTTAAAACGAATTCCAAATGCCAATGGATCATTTACGCGCACGCCAATGTATGCACGGGGTCTCGGATTTTCGTCCCATCCGAACGACTAGACGGCTGTCCTTGTCAAGCCCTCCGCCCTGCATTACTGACAAAACGAAACCACGCCGGAAAATCCCGAAGAATTTCCTCGGCCAATGCAGGGATTGAACACGCGACCTCCAGACTGGCGAGCCAGCGTCTTACCCACTTAGCCACCGTGGCTCCAAGTAATTAAAGAGAGAGAGAAATTGGGTTTAACGTCCACTCGACACTAGGTCATTTCAGGACTAACATATGTTTATTTCAATAATTCGCTTGCGCGTAGGGGTCTTTAGCAGTGGGAGGAAACCGGAGGACCCGACGAAAACCCACGAGTAAATAAGGCGGCCCTATAATTTGAGTATAGCTTACAAAGTAAATGTGATGATGTGATAAATAATAGACCGGGGTTTAATATAAGCTATGCCTGTTCCCCAATCCCTATTCAGATACAAATCTGAATAAAAATATTGCTTATATAAAAAGATAGAGAAAATTACACACAATCAAAATGTATGAACCAAGTCTAAACAAAAAGGAAAACTTAGGACGTCTAACCTCATTTCCATTAATTACTTTGCCTACAAAAATGTCTTGATTTTTTCTATTTTAGCCTTTATTTTAACTCCAAAGAAGACTGAAGTATGTTACGGCGACCTAGGCTGTTTCAATGATCTACCGCCATTTCAAGGTGGAACTCAACGACCTATTGGTTACCTACCCAAAAGTCCCACAGAAATTAATACAAAATTTCTTTTACGTACTAGGTTTGTATTCATAATTTTGAAACATATGTTCAATAGGGTTTGGGAGTCGCGGTGGTTCAGTGAAAAACCAGGTGATCCCAATTGAGTATTCACTGGTGTCTACTGATAAGTTCATAGCTGTGAATGACTAGTCACTGTCTATATTCCGTCTGACTCGCCATGTTTTTATTTTGCAAAATTCAAATATTTTTCATATATATTTAGCCAGGCGTGCCGCTATTTTTTCATGTATTCCAAAGTGTGCCGTTAGCCAAAAAAGGTTGAGAACCATTGCCCTAGTCTAGGGTTTGCTCCTATTACTGGCGGAGAAAATTCCTCGGGATCGTAAGACGTGGTTTCCTCTGATGGATGATGCAGAACGGAGGGCCTGACAAGGGGAGCTGTCTAGTCGTTCGGGTGAGACAAACAAACGATGTCCCGTGTACACGTATACATCTTTACACTGTTAGAATTCGAAATAAGAGTAGACCGAAGCCCTGGCCAATTTGTCCCTATAGCACATTACATGGCGTGTGCCCGTCTTCATTATACCCGGGTGGGACAGGACTGTAGGGCAGAGAGTTTAATGTCCACTCGACACAAACTAGGTCATTTCGGGACTAACATATGGTTCAATTTTATTTCAATAATTCGCTTGCGCGTAGGGATCTTTAGCAGTGGGAGGAAACCGGGGGACCCGAGAAAACTCACGAGGTTGGACAGGCGACCCTACTTCTTGTCACGTACAACCGGGTAATCGAAACCACGCCAGTTGACTCAACTGACCTAGTTGTCGACTGAACGTTAAACCCCATGTCCCCCCACCCCCAACACTTTCTTTCTCAGTGACATATTTGAATATAGGTCTAATCATGTTTATCCGTTTTCAGAGCCAAGCCTACATCTGACGTCCAAGACATCATCTCTGATAAGGCTTCTGTCCTGAGTTCCAGCTACGATGGCAAGAAAAAGACCAAAATTGTCGTCCACGGATTCACACATAACGGCCATCGCCAATGGTTACAAAACATTGCAGCAGAATTTTTGAAAAATGTAAGTCTGTTTCTTCCATTCTTTTAAATCAAATATGTGTCAGATTTAACCAATAACTGAAATGCATTGTTTAAATTTTAGAGGGTTACCATCTTAAATTTGTGTAATCAAGAAATGTTTACATGAAATGAAATGGGGTATAACTCACCCTGATTCGCAGTGAATATTCGCTAGGCTGCGACAATCACCGACAAGGATGATATCGATGCGACTTAATGAATCACAAATATTAACTTTTTTCCTCCGACAAATCAAATTCTAAAAAAAATAATTATGTATTAGAAAGATAAATAAAGACGTTTAAAGTATTTGTAGGTAAAAATTATTTCCTGTTTAGTGTAAATGGGTATTAAAATGGGTAAAAGGCGCCATTCTGCTCGAATCAATAAGGTCTTATGTAAACAATGCACGCGCCATTTAGCCAATGGTTGACGCCGCGTGATATGACGTCATGTGTTGAAGGCAGTCATCTTTTACAGAGATAATAGAAGACTTTCGAAACTCTGTGAAACAGATGGTGTATAACGTCCTGCTCTTCTACACCGGCTGGGTTAATGAAGTCGGGGGAGAAATGTTTACATAATTATAACCAATAGATCGACACTATCCATACGGGTGCAGAGGGCGATGTGAGGACCGAATGGACTAACGCGTGCGCTTTAGATCATAAGTTCATTGGGTAAAGTGGTGTACGGCTTCGATCCTACACTTGTACGTGACAACCTCGTTGGGTTTCTCCGGGCCCTCCGGTGCCCCACCCCACCCTCCACACTCAAGCGTAGTCGCAAAATAACCAATACGATATATTAAATATGTCTGCAAGTCAAAAACTTTCAATAATGGCGTAGATAATATTAACTACACTATGTACATAATATAATTTTAAACTGTCGTTTGTATATCTGTCTGTTCAGGGTTGGCGTCTCACTAGGGATGCCCCGGGGCTGAAATTTGGTGTATTGTGGTAGCTCGGAACGGGATGTAACATAGGTCTGTCTGGTGGCGATGAGCTACCACTTCCGGTTTCCGGGTTATGCTACTTCCGGTACATGAAAATATCTGTGCTACGCCGGGTGAACCGCTAGTATACGATAAAGAAATGAAATGGGATATCCTTACTTTTGTCCTACAACCAGAATATATGGAGACGGACATACGTCACGCAATGCGCTTTAAGGGAAGTTTTGCTCGGCAGAGGGTTCATTAAACGTGGTCGCTGAAGCGTAACACCATTGCCCAAGGTTCTTGTAGATCATTGATGTGGACCCGTTTTAGTTAAATATACATTATGTAAGATTTAGATAAAGATCTGGTCGTTCTTGCTATAATAGTTCAAACATAGATAATAAAAAATTATTGTTTTGAAAATCTCATTCAAATTACTTTATTCTGTGTAAAGTTATGAGTTTGAGCAAAAATTAAGTCAGATTGTTTATTATCGTAGCTACGGCACTTGAGAATCGAGACTTCGCCCCGGTCATCTATTTATTTAAATAGCGGCTGTGTTTTAATCTACTTAAAATCGGATCCATCCGATGGTCCAGGGAGTTGATTATGGGCTTGTCATCTTAAATTTCAAATAATAATTTATATAACATTTGAAGCCAGAAAAAAGAGACCTGCAATATGCAAATTGAGCTCTTACATAATGCATCTTTAAGGTTTTGATTTAATATTACAGGAAGATATGAATGTTATTATTGTTGACTGGCAACAAGGTGCGGCCATACCATACGACCAGGCTACAGCTAATACCAGAGTTGTCGGAGCACAGGTAGCTCAACTTATACACGTGATGATGAACGCAACGGGGGCAACACCAGATAAATTCCACGTCCTTGGTCATAGTTTGGGTGCCCATATTGGGGGTTATGTTGGTGAACGTGTGAACAAACTTGGACGAATCACAGGTAAAGTTCAGTGGTCTGATCCCATTTCTTGACATTTATAAGAAACTTTGCTAAGCGAGTTTCGGGGCCGCGGTGAATCGGTGAGTAAGACGTTCGAAAGCCAAAGGAAGACACAAGTTATCCTTCTTTTGACTTCGACAGTTCCGTTTCTTCAATTCTTCGTTACTCATCTATCGGAGCAATGAACTCTGTGTTAAAATTATATTTGGAACGTGTTTAACCAGTTCTATCACATATGTGATAATGGCTGACACCAATGTTGTCCTTTAAGTTTTGGGGCCATATTGTTGCATTACCCGGAGATACGGTCGACCCAGTGACGACCAAGTATTGAGTTAACCACGATGTCGTAACAGAGAAGAGTATGAACCTTTCAGAAGCTAAGGTGGTTTGTGGGCGGACTGAGTAAGCAATTGACCTAACGCTTGTACCCGCTGCGAAGCGGAGTCGCCGCTTGAATAACATCGTGGGTTTTCTCCTATTTCTTCAAGTTTGCTGAAGCCTTTTTCGCGTAATAGATATATGGAATTAAGTATGTCATATGTCCGACTTTAAAAGATCTAGTTGAGTGGACTTTAAATCTGTATTTCACCTTTCCAGGTATTGATCCTGCTGGACCATACTTTGAAGGAACACCTCCAATAGTTCGTCTTGATCCATCTGATGCCGAGTTTGTGGATTGTATACATACCGATGGTTCCGGTGTGTTGTCTATTGGTATGGGTACCAAACAGGCCATGGGTGACGTAGACTTCTATCCCAATGGAGGAGAGAATCAACCCGGATGCGATACTAGCGTATTGGGGAAGCTGGCGCATACTGTCTGGAATGCGGCAACGTTAGGATTATATGGTATGTATATTTTGATCATATAGAGGGAAGACGCAGTGACTCGGTGAGTAAGACCAGGAGGACTTGGGTTCATTCCCGGTTTTGAGCGTGAAATTTCCTCGGAAGTTTCCGGCGCGGATTTCCCTTGTCAGTGGTGCTGGGCGAAGGAGCTAGCAAGGACGGTATCTAGCCCTTTGGATGGGACGAAAAACCAAGGTCCTGTGTACACATTGGTGTGCGCGTAAAGAACCCGTGACAGTTGGATTTCGATATAAGAGTAGGCCGGAGGGCCGCTGTCCGGGCAAAATTTTCCTCACTAGCACACTATAATGGCGTATGCCCGTCTTCATTAGCCCAGTATAGGAGCAGGGCCCTTATTCACGAAAACTTAAACTAAGATACAATCGAAATTTTAAGAAATACTGCAATTCGATTGGCTGACCAGTAAAATCAATTTGCATATATCCAATGAAGTTGCAGTATTTCTTAAAATTTCGATTGTAACTTAGTTTAAGTTTTCGTGAATAAGGGCCCGGAACAGTAAGACGTTAGACTCCATTCATTTCATTTTTCTCCGTCATCATTATCCCAGTCGGTGCAGAAAAGATGGACGTTAAACCCCATTTGGTTTCATTCACTACCAGTCATACTGATGATAGAAGTGACATTTTATACAGAAAAGCAGGAAGCTAAACCTCATTTCATTTCATTTCACACTATGGCAAGGAATTTTAAATATTGACGAATAGAACATATTCATACAATCGGATTAAAACACAGATCATATTTCGTTTCTTTTTTTATAGTTTATAATTTGATTTTAACTTGTCTTGACAACACTAGGATCTGGAAGAGTTGTTATATAACCTGCGTTCTGGGTGATGTGAGGGATTAGCCAATGAAACGCTTTTCTGCAGTGAGTTCTTGGCTTACGATGCACGGAACTGTGGGTATCCTACTAGAAACATCAAATGTCAAATGGTTAATCAAATGTCTGACGTCATAAGGTCAAAAGCCGCACGTGTGACCCATGATGCGACCTCCCACTACCACTCAAATTTTCATGTAGTAGAGGTCATCGGAAGTATAAAAAACCGAAACGAAATATAGATCTCTATTTTAATCCGATTGATATTTATATTGCATATTTACGCAATAAGATTACACTAAGATTTTTTTCTCAATTCGTTTTTCATTTTCCATCGCTTTATATTCGTGTTTTATGTTACCGGGCTCATTTTTACATTATTTCGTCGTATATTTGAGATAATCTGAACCATAAACACGAAACAAATTGCAGTTATACTTTTAATTTGATTGACATTTCAGGTGCCGAAGCCGCTGTATCTTGTAGCCATGAACGTTCGTACTACTTATTTACAGAAACTATCAACTCACCCTGCCCATTTAAAGCCTTTCCTTGTGCTAGTCAAAAAGATTTTGATGCTGGCAAGTGTCTACATTGTCATGGTAACGGCTGTTCTAATATGGGTTACCATGCCGACAAAACAGCCGGAAGGGGTTCATTGTATTTAGAAACAGAATCAGCATCAACTTTTTGTGGTAAATAATCTTATATCACGTAATAACTTTTGCCATCAGAAAAATGTTTTCTTGGGATTAATGCACGTAAAAGAACTCTTAACAGTTGGAATTCGATATAAGAGTAAGCCATATCACCGCTGTCCGGGCAAAATTTCCGTTATAGCCAACTATGTTGCGTAAGCCCAGTCGGAGCTGAAAAGTTGGGCATTAAACCCAGTACCAGATTAACCATTAGGCAAATGAGGTGCGTGCATTAAGACCAGCCAAAATCCAGACCAACCTTGTGCGTTTTCTCCGGGTTTTCAAGTTTTCTCCAACGTTTAAAAACCCCTACGTGCTAACGAATTATCGAAAATGATAAAACCGTATGTTAGTCCCTATATGACCTAGTTTCTGGCGACTGGACGTTAACCCATCTCTCTCTCTCTCTCTCTCCCTCTCTGGGCGTGGTTGTTTTTTATACATTAGAGGGTCACGGTGGCTCACTGAGTAAGACATTGGCTCGCTAACCTGGAGACCCCGTGTTCGATTCCTGTGTTGGCCAAGAAAGTTCAGCGACATTTTCCGGCGTTGTTTCCTCCTTGTCAGTGGTGCAGGACCAAGAGCCTGACAGGGGACATCTATCTAGTCGCTCGGATGGGACAAAAAACTGAGGTCCCGTGTACACATTGGATTGCACGTAAAAGACCCCTTGGCAGTTGGAATTCGAGGCAAAATTTCCCTCATATTACACTGTATGGCGTCTTCATTAGCCCACTAGGAGCAGAACTGTACAGCAGGACGTTAAACTTCATTACATTTCAAAGACAGGCGTGGTTGTCTTTTTAAACATTAATGACAATGTTGCTACTTTAAAGAAGATATACTCCTAGTTTTGTTATATTACAGATTACCACTATCAACTTAATATATCATCTGAGAGCGCCATGGATGGACTTGTTAAAGCTAAATTACATGGAACCAAAAGCGATACTAACATGCTACCCCTGAACAAGTAGGTATTAATCGAATAAACTATTATAATGGAAGAAACATAATATTATTTAATTTATATTCGATCAGTTTGAATCTGTACCAGCATGGTGTAGATCCGTGGTTCTGAACCTTTTTTTGTCAACTGCACACCTTGGAATACATGAAAATATAGCGGCACACCCGGCTAAATATATATGAAAAATATTTGAATTTTGCAAAATAAGAACATGACAAGTCATAGATGGCATACAACCGTAGACACAGACTAGTTAGAGACATAGAATGACTCAAACTAAATAAAGAAAAAAACCAGAGCTATGAAATTACCAGTAGACACCAGTAAATGCTCAGGATCACGTGGTTTTTAGCATTTTTAAATTTCGCGGCACACTTAGGAAGATCTCGCGGCACACTGGTTGAGAATCACTGCTGTAGATTAACCATATTCAATTCTATCTGTACCCTGTCGAGGACAAAGACAATCTGATTAAAACACAGATCCTATTTCGTTTCGTTTTTTTTTTATAGTTCAAAATTTCGTTTTACTTGTCTTTACTACACTAGGATTTGGAAGACTTGTTGTATAACTCGCGTTCTGGATGATGTGAAGGATTAGCCAATGAAACGGTCTGTCACGGCGAGTTTTTGGCATGAGGTGCACGGAACTGTGGGTAACCCACTAGAAATATCAACGCTGATTGATTAATCAAATGTCTGACGTCATAGGGTCAAAAGCCGCCCGTATAACAGCTGACGCGACCTACCACTACAACCGGCCAGATCTTCATGTACTAGAGGCCATCGAAACGAAATATAGATCTTTATTTTAATCAGAAGGGAATTAGATCGTCATTCAGAGGATGTACACATGTTGCGCGCATATGTCTCAGAATTATTATTCAAGAGCTTTCTCGTTCTCGTCCCGATTCTTCAATTCCATGCAAAGCCAAATCAATGATAAAAGGTTGATATTTTCATAAGATTATATTTATTTATAAAATGCCCTATACACAATACCAAACAAGTGTCGCGATCCAGACGAGACGACTTGTTGTCGATAAGAGTAGAGACTTCTTACCTTGTCAAAGTTTATGGGTATACTGTCATTTCTGGTGAAATAGTTCCGGCTAGTTAATTCGGACTAAAGAGGCTGGCCGTTCAATTCTGACTTGCGGTTGTGGTTTCTATCCCTAGTGTGAACGTATGTGGCTTGGATATAGTGGCGTCTTCTCAACCTCGTCGGTTTACTCCTGGTAATCCGTTTTCCTCCCACAGGAAAGACCCCTGCGCGTGCGCTAAGATAATGAAAATAATTTTAAAAAAAGACATATTGTCTGCGATATCACCTTCGGGTTAAGCGGACGTTAAACACTAAGAACAACAAGACGACGGAAAGTAGTGAGAGGGAGAGATGGGGTTTATCGTCCATTCGACACAAACTAGGTCATTTCGGGACTAACACATGGTTCAGTTTTATTTCAATAATTCGCTTGCGCGTAGGGGCCTTTAGCAGTGGGAGGAAACCGGAGGACCCGGAGAAAACCCACGAGGTTGGATAGGTGACCCTACTCCTTGTCACTTACAACCAAGGATTCAAAACCACGCCAGTCGACTCAATGACAGATACAGCGCGCATGTGCTAACCATTCGGCCATCCACCCCCCCTAGTCATATATTACAACAATATCTACTAGTATGTATACTATTCTAATATAACCAGCAATCAATTACTGATTGTATATTACATCTAATTATAGGAAATCAGAAATATACAATAGTGGCAACGTGATGAGTCATTTAATAAAGACAAGAGCTGATATTGGTACCATCACTGGTGTAACATTGGAGTATGATAAAACGGCTAGTATATTAACTAACTGGTTATACCCGGATGACTGGAAGTTAATGGGCGTGTCTGTTTTCAGTGGAAAAGATGAAACATCGTAAGTACTTTAACGGGCTTTTTAGTTTTTAAAGGCAAAAATCCAGATTTCTCAAGAGACCGTAGTTAACAGTGGTTTACGTATGTAATACCCCTGTCAGACCGGCCTGGCGTCCTTACTGCGCTGCTACGGCGACGGAAAATTGTCTTAGAGCGCGTGGTAAAAGCGTGGTGGAAACGCCAGATGTGGCGTGGTCTCCATGGTCGCCAATGATCGCCGAGTCACGGCGTTTTTTAGAGCATGTTCAGAAAAAGCCAAGGTTCTGCGATCTGACCCGAAAAGCTGTGAGAACGCGGCTTTTTTCAAGTGTGTAATTTTTTGTTGGGACATTATCTCGCGTCGTGTTCACGTTTGCCGGCGACCTTGTGCATGTTCTGGTCGTCGTATGGTCGCAGTAGTGCTTTACGGGCGCCACCCTAGTATGACGGATGGGGGGGGGGGCATAAACAAAGTGACAAAGTGTGAAGATCAATTTTGTTTACCTTGTATAAAAGGAGATGGATGGCCTGATGGTTTATTGCATGCAATTTAGATCATAAGGTTTTGTCTTTCGGTCACGGTTTCGATTTCCTTGCTTGTACGTGACAAGGAGTAGGATCGCCTGCACAACGTCGTCGTGGAATTTTCTATGGGTCTTCGTGTTTCCTCCCACTGCTAAAGACCCCCAAGTTAATTATTAAAATAAAATTAGTCCCGAAATAACATAGTTTGTGTCGAGTGGACGTTAAACAATGACTTATTGGTAAAGTCACATTGAACCCGAAACAGTAGCACCTCAGGACCATGATTAAGTTTTGCATGAGTCCTCATTAACTAGTTGTATTAATCAAAATATATCTGGTACAACTCCTTTAAATTTTAAGATATCCTGGCAGTACAGTAACTCATCTTATTTTCTAGACATTATAACAAACCACACAAGGGGAATAAATCAAAAACTTTAGTACACATATATATATTTATCCAGACACCCATGGATCAACAATCTGTGCCGATTTGATGAGGATGGGGGTCATTAAAAAGATCGAAAGGAACTTTAAAACTAAACATTTATATATTGGATTTTTTTTCAGAACCAGTTTCTGTGCGTATGGAAAATCACTGAAGTCACATTCACAGTCAGATTTCAAGGTGACTGGACACTGTTAATTATGAATGAGTAGTAGAATTGTCTGTTTCAATTTACGTATTATTGGTAGTAATTGTATAAAATGAAAGTAGAATTGTTTGTTTCTCTTTACGTAATACTGGTATTAATATATGATTAAAACCTTCCAACAATACGTATTGCTTTCTATATCTATTTAATATAAACCCACGATATAATTCAATGTCACAGGTACGGAAACAATCACACGCATATCCCACCAATGGCAATAGCCTGATAATGTTTACCGAATGCTTCACACATGCCTTCTCCCATAGCTCGATTTAGTTCACGATTTCGTCTCATATTAGCATTTTGATAAGCTCCGCTATTCTGCCGGCTTGTTAGATAGTCAAATGCGGTCATTTTGTTGTAAAATGGCGACCCAGGAAAGGATTGCGTCTGCTGGCCTCGTCCACCCTGACTCTGTTGTTGGCCTTGACCCTGTACGTTACTTTGTCCTTGGCTTTCATCTTCATTTTGACCTTGCTGCGACCCTTGACCTTGATCAACATGCGGATTCTGTAAGTGATCGGGACGGTTTTGCCTATCTCGATTTGTAAATCGGTTTCGATTTCTGTCCTGAGAGTTTGGTTCTGGTGAAGGGTTACTCAGTCGTCGTTGGATTAGGTCCCAGTTAGACTGATCATACGCTGATTCTACTGGCTGAGAGCCTCGTCGTGGCGGCGGGTTTGAATCGCTGTCGTCACTGGTCGTTGTCAAGGTCGAATCCGGGTTGGTTAATGGCTCCCTCGTTGTAGTTGAAACTGGCTGAGATCCTCGTCGTGGCGGCGGGTTCGAATCGCTGTCGTCACTGGTCGTTGTCAAGATCGAATCCGGGTTGGTTAATGGCTCCCTCGTTGTAGTTGAAACTGGCTGAGATCCTCGTCGTGGCGGTGGGTTTGAAGCGATGTCGCCACTTGTTGTTGTTAAGGTAGAACCCTGGTTGGTTAACGGTCCCCTCGTTGTAGTTAAAACTGTAGATATTGTGGAGCTAGATACCGGTGATGTAGTTCCTTGGGTATTAGGGGGCAGTGTTGTTGACACTGAAATACGTTGTAAATCGCCACCGGAAGTCAGAATATGTCGTGCCCTAGATCTGTGCCTTCTTCTGTCAGCTGACTGTGAACCTTTAATAATGATAAAAAAATACGTCATTTTTGTGATTTATGAAATGAAATGAAATGGAGTTTAATGTCCTATTGTTCTGTTGCGAGTGGGCTAATGAAGACGGGCATACGTCATGCAGTGTGCTATGGGTGACATTTTGCCCGGACAGCGGTGCTACGGCCTACTCTTATATCGAATTCCAACTGCCAGGGAATCTTTTACGTGCACGCCAATGTGTACACGGGACCTCGGTTTTCGTCCATCCGAACGACTAGACAGCTGTCCTTGTCAGGTACTCCGTCCTGCACTTGTCATTTATGACAGTCTGAGTTAGAATTGTACAACTTAGATGGCCGTGGTGTGTATATATCATAACAATAGAGAGAGAGAGAGAGAGAGAGAGAGAGAATGGGGTTTAACGTCCACTCGAAATAAACTAGGTCAATTCGGGACTAACATATGGTTCAATTGTATTTCAATAATTCGCTTGCGCGTAGGGGCCTTTAGCAGTGGAAGGAAACCAGAGGACCCAGAGAAAACCCACGAGGTTGGACGGGCGACCCTTGTCACGCAGAACCGGGGAATCGAAATCACGTGAGTTGACTCAATGACAGACCTTACGATGCAGAGCGCACGCGCTAACCATTCAAAAAAAGATAAAGTAAAATGAATATATTCAAAAAATCAGTCAAATTACTTCATTCTATGAGAAGTTATGCGTGTTTGAAGTTTTGACAAAATGTAGCGTGGATCGTTTATTATCGTAACAACGGTACTTGACAATCGCGACTACGTCTCGATTATCTATTTTGTCGTATAAGTCCTCTAATCGATTGAAGATCGAAGCCATCCGATGTTCCAGGGGGTTGATTGTCGGTTTGTCATGTGAATAAATGTCTACATAATAATATATATAACATTTGAAGTCAGAAAAAGACCTGCTATGAGCCTATTTAGCTCTTACTTGATGCATCTTTAAACAATTGCTCACTACTTGACAAAAACTAGAGAAGCCAAATCGAAACGTCGATCACTATAAACAGTAACTGTATTTCACTGAATTGTGAGGGGTTGGATGGCTGACTGGTTAGCGAGTGAGCGTTGTATCATAAGGTTTAAAACTGAGTCAGCCGGTTGTACGTGAATAAGGTCGCCTGTCCAACCTCATGTGTTTTCTCCGGGCCCTCCCACTGCTAAAAAACCCTACGCGTAAGCGAATTATTGAAATAAAATTGACCATATGTTAGTCCCGAAATGGCCTAGTTTGTGTCTAGTGGACGTTAAACTCTCTCTCTCTCTCCACTGATAACTCACTTTTTCTCTACTGAATTGTGTCAGTCCAATTACTAAACGCCTTTGAAAGAATTTAAAGAACGTATACAAGAGCATCATACTATTGGCGCAAACTGAAAATAATTTCCCAGTTTTAGAATTTGCGCAATCCTCCACACCTTACCTTTAAGAGAAATGAAATGAGGTTTAACGTCCTACTGTTCTGCTCCGACTGGGCATACGCCATGCAGTGTGCTATGGGGGGGGGGGGATTTTGCCCGGATCTTTTATGTGCACGCCAATGTGTACACGACCCTCCGCGCTGACCTACTGACAAGGCGAAACCACGCCGGAAAATCCCGATGAACTTTAACGGCCAACATTGGGATCGAACCCCCGACGTCACTTAGCCACCGTGGCTCCTTGGCTTTAAGTACATGTTTACATATGTCTTACCTGTGCATACGAGAGTTATAGTCATAATAAGAACGGATATTAAAAACACCTTTTCCATTGTAGATATCTACACTACAAGACACAGGGTATAATATATGTAATATAGTCTTATATAAGACAATACGAGAGTTTCTTATGAACAGTGTAAACACGAAATATATAGATAGTGTACCGAATGTTGTTGAACTTGGAATAGTAATGATGTGTGTTACGTCTTTTCGTCAGTCATTCTGTTATTCTAGCCATTATTTATCACTTTCTGGTAAAACGATAAGACGACGAACTATACATAAAGCTCCATAAACATCAACGGTTTCAGATAACAAGATTCTACCATGATCCTTATATTAGAGTATTATAAAGAGAGAGAAATGAGGTTTAACGTCCACTCGACACAAACTAGGTCATTTCGGGACTAACATATAGTTTATTTTTTATTTCAATAATTCGCTTGCGCGTAGGGGTCTTTAGCAGTGGGAGGAAACCGAAGGACTCGGTGAAATCCCACGAGGTTGGACAAGCGACCCTACTCCTTGTAACGTACAGCCGGGGAATCGAAACCACGCCAGTTGACTTAATGACAGACCTTGTGATACAACGCGCAGGCGCTAACCATTCGACCCCCCCCCCTCCCGAGTATTATAAGGTCCGTGATTCTACTAATCTATACTGTTTTAGCTGATTTATATTTATTTTGTAAAGAGCTAGACGGGATTTAATAATCTAGCCTTAGATATGTTGGAATATACATGCTCAACCTTTGCTTTTCGTTTGTAAACGATCATGCGTAGTTAGGACATATTCCTGAAATCTGATTCTGTTTGTTGTTATTATTGGTGTTATACGCTTTACAAAACTACGACGTCAAACTATTATTATGTAATACAACACAGAAATATACGAGAACCCGGCTTTGTTTTTGTTGGGATATAGATATACGTAATTTTTGACGTCATGGCGTTAGGTGTTATATGTTTTCTCTATAATTTAGACCAGTCGGCTGAATTATAAATATTTTCCATTTCGTTTTGATTCTGACTACTTCTATGTTCCTAATTTTTAGATAATATACCACTAAGCCAACCCTACGATGACTGACTAACCTGCAGGTCCCGTATTCGACCCCGGTATTGTCGGAGAAAGTCCATCGGGATTTTCCTGAGTGGTTCGTATGGGGCGAATAACTGAGGTCCCGTGTACACATTGGCGTGCACGTAAAAGAACTATTGACAGTTGGAAATTGAAATAAAAGTAGACCGTAGCGCTGCTGTCAGGACAAAATGTCCCACACAGCACACTACACGGTAGATGCCCGTCTTCATTCGCCTAGTCGGTGCAAAAAAAGGAGGACGTTAAACCCGGTTTTATTTCATTTCCAACAGGGACAATCAAGACGGGCATACGTCATGTGGTGTGCAATGAGATGTATTTTGCCTACTTTTATTTCGAATTCAGACTTTCAAGAGTTTTTTAACGTCCCATTCGAACGACTAGACACTTGTATTTGTCAGACCCTCTGTCTTGTAACATTGACCAGGGAAAACCACGCTGTAATATATAAATCAGTGGTCATTTTATATCATAATAGCAGAAAATATTTAATTTCAAATATACATACAATTTACAACACAGCGTGCACATTATATATAGAGGATATTTGTCGTTTAAGAGTGAATAACATATTTTATTTCATCGAGAAGCAAGACAAATGTTCTATTTATTTTATGATTTTACAATCATTTTAGGTAAAAACAACATGGACTACTGCTAGCCAGTGGAATAACACTTTTATTTCACTGATAAAACGCGGTATTCCACCACTGATCATAAAATAAAGTGCTATATTTAGAAATTATTTAATTTATATTGATCTTTTAACATGGTTATAATCAACTGTTTATCGGAACGTTCTTGGTTTATTGTAGCGAAACTTGAATCATTAGAACACGTGTTGCCACAATACAATAGAGTATATGCTGGTACAATAGGTAAACAATCATAAAATTATTGATTCTAAACTATTTATCAATAAATCTCCGTTTTTCTTACAAAATCTTGCTGCAGAATAACAAACACATGGTGACGGCGAGCTGGTAAGATAACTTAGATTTAAAACTTGGATTGAGTTGCTTCTGCGTAGATCAGTTTTCACCGTGTTACCTATACAACCGTTATGAGGCGTCTGGAATTGCTAGTGGTGGTAGGGGTGTTTTTGTTTATTTTCTCTGCGTTGTATATCAATCTGAACATAGATGTAACGAAAAAACACGATTTGAAATACCGGAAGAAACATTTCAAAGATGTGTTCTTTCATAAAGAAGTGACGCCGCAACTGGAACCGGAACTCGCGAAGGATTGGTTAGAAAATGACGCGGAACCACCAATATCCTGGAGACGCAAGGGAAAAAAACGGAAGCGAAGACCTAGACGTTTTCACGGGAGACTTGATGAGACTGAAGATACAGAAGATCAAATAAAGCGACGAATGCGACGCAAGAAGGATCATAGGCCGGGTCAAAAACACAAGAAAAAACGGAAGCGAAGAACTAGACGTTTTCATAGGAGACTTGGCGAAACTGACGATACAGCAGAAACACTGGAGCGACGAATAAGACACAGGAAGGATCATAGGCCTATTCGAAAACATCACAATAAGAAAAAACGAAAAAGCCATCATGGACAGAAAAGAAAATTGAAACGTAAGGCCCGTAAGAGAAAGCTGAAAAGGAATCACAAAAGAATTCACAATATCCAGCACCAGGACCACCAAAAAGCTGACATGGGTTTAGAGTTGGCGTCAAAATATATGGAAAACCATCACATTATGAATCAAAGGAAGGTGGGAAATCACTCGATCGATCATCAGATGCTGTTAGTTCCAGAGTTGGGGTCAAAGGATATCGAAAACCATCACATTATGAATCAAAGGAAGGTTGGAAATCACTCGAACGATCATCAGATGCTGTTAGTTCCTGATGAAGCTAAGGAAGAACTACATCTTGAGCCTAAGCACCCCCGCTGGTTCAGAGGCCAGAATCGCCTTTATAACAGACACAGCTTTAGACGTAAAATGACCAAAACAGAGATTTTGCTGGTCATGCAGACGGTTAAAAAGTTCGAAGAGTTGATGAGGAAACATGGGATAATATATTTCATGTCTGTTCGAACTCTACTTGGTTCCTATCGACACCATGGTTTTATACCGTGGGATGAAAATATTGACTTTGTCTTACCCCGGAAAAATCAGGAACAAGTTTTCATCATCTTGAAATTGATTGAACCGGAATATAGCCTTTATCGTGAAAAGAATGGGTTGTGGAAATTGTACTTTTGGCAGTCAAGGTCGTTTGGTAAGGAATGGAAATGGCCTTATGTCGGATTATGGTTTTATGATTCCAACAATACCCATATTTGGAATATAGAGCCGTATGCAAAGATAAATCAAGTGTATCCAATGATTGATATCTTCCCACTCAAAACGAGGCCGTTCCTGGGTATGTCACTTCCGGCTCCCAACCAAGACAGCAAACTAGTTCAGAAATCCTTTGATCTGTCCAAATGTAGCTCTCCAGGCTACGATTATAAGCGCGGTGTTCCCGTAGAGAGCACAACAATAGACTGTGATGCATTACAAAATAAATTCCCATTTGTAAAGAGACATGATTTTGGTCACGGCAACGTCAATGAAACGTTAATGTTCAATGGACAGGTTATTGGCTGGTTTGTTATTAAATGAAAAAATTGTTGTATTTATATCGGTGTTGCTAATTAATTGTTTAAGTGTGTGTTTTTTTTCTAATCATTTATTTTTTTATCTGTGTGCGGGGTGGGGTAAACTTAGTGTTTTAACTCTTTCTACGGCTTATATACCTTTCTCAGATTAAAAATTGAATATTATCTGAGATGCGTCAGGTGTTCCTTGTATTATGACTATTTGCTAAGACTAGCAATTGCTTCCCCTTGCGCGTTGTATCATAAGGTCTGCCATTTAGTCAGCTGGCGTGGTTTGGATTTTCTGGTTGTACATAACCAGATGTAGGGTCGCCTGTCAAACCTCGTGAGTTTTCTGCGGGCCCCCCTGTTTCGAGTGGACGTTAACCCCCATTTCGCCCTCTCTTGTCCCCTGCCTTACGAAGAAAGCAGAGATCTATTAAAATGGGTCTGCCCGTCTGTCACAATTTTTGGGACACAATAACTCTAGCTTCTAATTGAGCTAGAATGTTCAAAGTTGGTGCAGGTGTTTATTAGGTGAATGCCTTGGTGTTCGAAGAGAGCATTTTCTGCTTAGGGTAAGCAGAGATAAGCAATGTGATTGGCTGATGCTTTGGGACACAATAACTTTAGTTCTAATTAAGTGAGAGTGGTGAAACTTGGTGTATAGTTTCATTATATCATTATCTTGACTAAGTTCGATATTGAGCATTTTCTGCTTAGGGTAAGTAGCAATAAGCAATTTGATTGCTCACGACTTTGGAACATAACAACTCTGCTTTTAATTGAGGTAGAATGTTTAAACTTGATGTAGATGTTCGTTAGGTGAATGTTTTGACAGAGTTCAATGATTAACATTTCTCACTAAAGGTAAGCAAAGCTAAGCAATTTCAATGATCGATGCTTTGGGACAAGATAACTTCGATTCTATAAGATGGAGAGTGATGAAACTTGCGTATAGTTTCACTACCAGGTACCTCAAAACTTTGAATAAGTTAGATCATGAACAATTTATGCTTGACTAAGTATAAACAATAGGTTTACTTTCCCGATACTTTTGAAAAAGATAAATGTGCAATTAATTAATGTGTCATCTATTTATTTGAGGATGATTTCGCCGGGGGACATCAGCCTCACTGTTGGCTTGTTTGTCTAGAACTGAACAGGAGTGTTTGAAAATGAAATGAAATGGGATTTAACGTCCTACTGTTCTGCTCTGACTGGGCTAATGAAGACGGGCATAGGCCATACAGTGTGCTATGAGGGAAATTTTGCCCGGGCAGCGGCACTATCGCCTACTCTTATATCGAATTCAAACTGCCACGGGATCTTTTACGTGCATTCCAATATATACACAGGACCTCGGTTCTTCGTCTCATCCGAAGGACTAGATAGCTGTCCTTGTCAGGCCCGCCGTTCTGCACCGCTGACAAGGGGAAACCACGTCGGAAAATCTGGATGAACTTTCTCGGCCAATGCAGGGATCGAACACCCAGGGGTGTTTGAATCCACATTTGCTGCGCGGTGCTGGCGAATGAATGTCGTTTGTGGTTGTAAACCTTATGGTTATCGGAATGTTAACAAGTGGTTGCATCACATCACAGGCTGTTCCGATCTCTATAGGCACACAGGGCACCGCATTGGGCAGTCCCCTCATAATAATTTTGTAGGGTGTTGATCATTTAGATTTTTTGTTATGGGGATTTGATGTTGACTGGGGTCAAAATCTCACTTCCGACACAATGATTGATCTGCAGAAAGACACTTTACACCCCTATCCCTCCGCTGTAATATCATTAGTATTACCCAAAACTGTTATGAAATTGTAAATTTCATCCCTTTTCTCCAGTTCTGGACCAAAAAGTCAACCAACAAATGCAGGCAGAAGGGAGAAAGAAAATTATGGGAAAGATTGTCTATTAATAACTCGCACTACATTCGTTCGTTCCATCATGAAATAAAGGATCCACATGTCAACCTTTGGGAGATAACCCTATACTTTAATTGTTTACATCACGTGGTTTGATTGACAGCTTGCAAGTGAAATGTATTTCGTTTGCTTCGATGTCTTAATCCACATGCCAACCTTTGGGAGATAACCCTATACTTTAAAGGGGAAGACCAACGATTTTCAACAAGGTTTCCATAAACCTTAAATATATATTGATAAATAATCCCCTCTGTAGCACAAGCAAATTGTTTCTGTAAGCGATAAATTAATTTTTTATTAAAACCAGAAGTGACATAGTTGGTTCAACACGCTCACTAGGCTCTATAGTAAGAATACAGATTTGGCATAAGTTTACTGCTGTATTGTGTTCACTCGTCGTCCTTTGGACAAAAATCTGATCGAATGGGTTGTTTATTAGGATATTATAAACACGAATTTATTTTTTTTAACGTTTGGCACAGTAGTGATACGTCACGAAATTTAAAACAGGATATAGGAATGATTTCCGTTAGCGTTTCTTTTCTGACTGGCAGGAATGACATAGGTCCACACTACCAACAGTCTGTTCGCGTGGCTGATGATATAGTTAACTTAGTCAATTTGATTAGTCAGCAATGTCCCTGGGCTGTTATTGTTGCGGGCAATTTATTTGTTCGCCCGAAGCCTCGTGGTCTGACCGAAAACCAGTACAACGCAGTTAAGGTTTCTGTGAACAACCTGCTAACCCACAGATTGTCATATTTACACAACGTGCTTTTTTTGAATTATAGATATAAAGAGATATAAAGAATTGCACTTTGATGAGCGAAAACCAATTTGGTACGTTCGTAATTATACTACAGTTTCACTATTTTTAACTATTTCTAACGCTTTCTATCCATGGCAACCCACTGTTGCAAATACAACTATTTATTGTAGACGAGTTCTATCCATGGCAACCCATTGTTGCAAAGAGAACTTGTACTCGTTCCAGAGCTTGTGAAATAGAATTTATATTTTATGTACACTATTTATTTTATAGTATTAATATATTGTATTATATTATAGTATTAATATATAGTATTATATTATAGTATTAATATATAGCGTATGCTTAAATGTTGTTGAGATTTTAATTTGATTTTAAAGTCAATAAATACTTCAATGGCGGAAATTAACGATTATTCAGTACATATTTGATGCATTCTTCCAAACAGAATTATCCTGAGACAAAATCGTTTGATTTCCGCGCATGACTAAATTATCACGTTTTAGAGATCGTCACTTTCACTTGACGTTTAATTCTGCGCTTCTACCTACTTTTACAAAATTTCTTGATCATTTTAAAAGCAAAGCGGTCATGGATGAACCTTGTCTATTCCGCCATTGTTTCATTCGTCGTGTAGCCCCTAGCATATGGGTTGGGGGGAGAACGTATCCATCATGTTTGGCACAGTGGTGGAACGTCACATTTAAGACAGGATATATGAATGATTCCGGTTAGCGTTTCTGTTCAGTCTGGGGGGAATGACATAGGTCCACACTACCAACAGCCTGTTCGCATTGCTGATGATATACTTAATTTAGTCAATTTAATTAGTCAGCAATGTCCCGGGCTGTTATTGTTGTGGGCAGTTTGTCTGTTCGCCCCAAGCCTCCTGGTCTGACCCAAAGCCAGTCCAACGAAGTTAAGGCTTCTGTGAACAACCTGCTCCACTACAGCTTGTCATATTTACACCAAGTGCTTTTTCGGAATTAACAGTCAGAAGATGATATATAAAGAATTGCACTTTGATGATCGTGAAAGGATGTCATATTTACATCAAGTGCTTTTTTGGAATTACAGTCGGAAGATGAGATATAAAGAATTGCACTTTGATGATCGTGATCGTTGCATCCACAGCGGTTGGTTTTTCAAACACTATCCACAGTTCTTAATTATACTACAGTTTCACTATTTTTTTTTATCTAGTTCTTAATTTAACTAGCGTAAAATTAATAATTATACTACAGTTTCACTATTTTTTTTATAGTTCTTAATTTAACTAGCGTAAAATTAATAATTATACTAGTTTCACTATTTTTTATAGTTCTTAATTTAACTAGAGTAAAATTAATAATAAGCCAGCGCCTTACCCACCGTGAAAGGATGTCATATTTACATCAAGTGCTTTTTTGGAATTATAGTCGGTAGATGAGGTATAAGAAATTGCACTTTGATGATCGTGATGGAGTTCACCTTAATGTTGCAAGCACTCGTCTTTTTGTTGCTCTATTTGTTTAACATTTAGCGAGGGTCTTTCCCTATCCTGATGTACTGTTCACTTATCAATTTTATCGTTGTCCCTTTTCTTGGAACAGTAGGACATTAAACCCCATTTCATTTCCCTTTTCTTGCTGGGACCATAATTGTTTAGTAATGCACCAGAATGAAGGTAGCACGTCCCACCAGTCGTCCACACATCAAGAGAGGCATATATTCTTGGCTGTTATATGTGCTTTGGGTGATGAACCAACAGTTAGCAATTATATGATTCAGTGTACCGTTTTAGGAAAATACTCAATTGAAAACTATTTAAATAATGACAAGGCTGTTCAGTATTATACTGGGTTTTTTTACTCGTATGCATTTTATGGTCTTTTTAAATTGTTTAGGCCCTGATGCTTATCAACTTGATAATCTGTACAAGTCATCTGACCCTAATGTACAAAGTACCACTTGGTCTAGCTATAACCATTAAAACACACTACAAACTATGATTGGTTGTACGCCAAGAGGCGCAGTTTCATTTATAAGCGATTCTTTTGTTAGGGGTTCTGCCTCAGTTCATTGAGTATTCTTCTCTTCTTAAACCTACTATAAATATGTTTGACTCAAACGACAGCATCATGGCCGACAGAGGTGTAATGGTTCAATGTTATTGTGATTATCCCAACTTGGGCCACATGATGTTGTCAAAGATCACAGAATTGCCTCTAAAAGAATACACGTTCAGCGCATTACTGGATTGTGCAAAGCATATAAAATTTTGAAATCCCACAACCTCCATGTAACCTTTAAACGTGGGATCCAGAATTGAATTTATATCTTTTTCTATTTCTAATTTCAGCC